CTATTTTATGAAGTAAAATTTTCTGACACATGCGGTCGACGTTTAATAATTCGGATTGCATGCCATATTTGAATAACTTTAATTCCAGCTCGATGTGTCGTTTGACGTGAACGTTGGGATTGCTTGAAACCCGTGCAAGTTCATGTGGTTGCAGCCCTGTCGAACAATCAGGATTTTGGCGTCATGCCACCGACGCCGGCTTTTCTGCGACACGGGCTTCTTAAAGCTATGGTGTTAAAGATGTCCTATCTGTTACTTATTGTGACGTGTTTGTAAAACTGAAGCCGAAATTGTTATTTTACGCTAGTAAATAAATTTGGGCGATAAAACGAATAAATGTGGGCTGTATAATGGATGACAGGATTCCCAATAGCTCAGAATCTTTGAAAATGTTTCACGACCACTTACCACAAACGATTTTTACCAAGTTTGTAAACTTAGCTTTACGAGTACATTTGATGTGAATGCTGTGGAACGCTGGGATATAGATATATTTCAGAAATATTAAAAGCGCAGCAGGCTAGATCTAGACTTCTATCAGATAAAAAAGACTTCTTCAGCTTGCTAATTCTACTTAGCTGGAAACACCCATCGTTCCACTAATCATCCTTGGCATGAGCAAAGATCCACAAAAACAAGCGTAGGCAAAATCTTCAAAGGCCATCGATGAACCTCCGCATTAAGTGAGGTCGTAAGCGCCGATTGCATAACTACTTAACAGCACCAATGACCAGGTTCAATCCTAATAATGCAACTTTCAACGTTTGTAGCGAAAGCGAGCTTCCACCACCAAATAACACGCCTTCAATTAACAAGTTAAGACCCAGTTGGCCTAATCACATCGCAGACGACAATACTTAGGAGGAGCCAAACATCAAATTGAAAAGGGAGTGTAGTTCCACCTTATAGGGAAGAAAAGGACTGCTTAGTCTGTAAGAGTAGAACATTCTCTGTTTTGCTATCGTCAGTGGTAGACATGTTGATGCCTCAGTTGACAATGGTCGACCTAACAGACTTGTTAATAAGTATATCGTGGACACGTGAAAGATGCAGACTCGAACGCTCATCGAAGTTCACAGCTGTGTCGATACTGTTGGGGGACATTGAAAATTGAGTTCCAGGGAAATAAACTTATGGTGAAGGCACTCGCTGTAGAAGGAGTCGAGTTCTTGTTCATTTATAACAGCCTAAAATGGAGCGTATTAGAATGAACGTATCTTGGAAAGACGAGGTCGACTCTCAACCAGGGTGCAAAAGTTAAGCCGGGGGCTCTTTTTTGCGAACATCCTATTGTTAAAACTGCTGAAGACTTGCCTGCCCCCTGCCTGCAACTGATAGGTGTCAAATAGTGTACACCAGCGACTTTAGTTACTGTTTTTTTTACGCTGCACGACATCTTCGTTGTACAAAAAAGCCACACGTCTCATGAAAAACAAAATTAGCTAAAGCCCAAAATTCAAGGAATGCTAGATGCCGAGATCAACAGGCCATCGACATCAACGTTTGCCTCCCCGATTACCCTCGTGCCTAAGCACCTAAAGTAGGGGTGTCGCGAACCGGCCGAGGTTCGAGTTCAACCAGGTTCGACTTTTTCGAACTTTTTGTGGAAATTTCGACGAACCTTGCATTGAGGTTCGACTCGTGTGCGCATGCGCGACAGGCTGGCCAGTTGGCTTCGGATTGGATGGTGATACCTAAGGGATAAATCAAGGGCACCGCTGATTGGTTATTTCAGTTAATACAGTAGAAAAAAATTAAGTTAACTTCTTCAGTGAATAGAATTGGTTTCTTTTAATTGCAACTGTCCATAAAATAAAGTAACCCTTTGCATAAAAATAAATTCTCCAAACCTAGACATACTTGCATCAAGGTCTGGCCACACTGTCCACAAAGTCGAACCGGTCAAATCTGGTGATAAGTTTCGAAGGTTCGTCGACCGCTTCGACCCAGTCGAACCCCGAAATTTCGACCTAAAAATCCGGTTCAACAAAGTTCGCGACACACCTAACCGACATTTTACGGCATATCCCGACTTCGTAGCGAGATTAGCCAAATTAATAGCCAGGCTTAACTTTTCCCGCTGCCAATGCCAAGTGTGGATGACATCATTAGTGATACTGGAGGGTGCTCATGGTTGTCGAGGATTGTTATCTGCGAAAGGCATTGTAACGTAATCACGTATTTCTGACGCAATTAGAGGTGTGCGAGTATAGCCGCGGCTCACACTTGGATGAAGGAGCTCTGGAGCCTTGTTTCTGAAGATGACGAATGAAGTGTTCTATAACGTTTTGGGTCCTGCACCGTTTATATCAATGAGATTATCAATTATTGTCGAGCTCCATTACTTTGAAAATTAACATGAAGAAAAGTAATTTCCTTAAAAAAAGAAACAACAGCGTAGCTCGAGGGTTTCTCATGGTTTAACACGAAGCATTCAAATGAAATAATGCAGAACAGCTCAAAACCTAGAGAGCCCTAGGTTTTATACTCACTTCGCATTTTCCTCGCTTGTTGTGGGACATTTTCGGGTGCTAGTAAAATCTATGCCACAAAGACAAAATGGCTGGCAACACTGACTCAGGTACTTCGTTTGCTTGGTCTGAGGAGCTCGAGAGGGTGTTTGAGTACCTCGTCAAGGACATCCCTTCTGACCCAGTTCTGATACTGCCTGGATTGGAACTGACTTTTGCACTTTGTATAGACATTTCACACAATGGCACAAGAGCCGTTTTTTATCAAAGAAACTTGACAGCATTGCCCAACCGCAATGCAAGAGTAGTTGGCTACCAGTCATTCCCGTTCTCCAAGAGCTAGGAAGAATATGCCATGACAGTAAAGGAAGATCTAGCGGTGGTCTTGACCTTGAGGGATTCCCTAAGTTACCTCGAAGATCGACATTTTAAACTTTTCAAGGAAACCCAAGCTACCACTTACGTCTTGAACTTAACTCAACCGACTAGACGGCGGACCAGATGGGTCAGAGAGATTCAACAATTTCCATTTGAAATGACCCATCAATCTGGATGGAATCTTCCCGATACGGATGCCCTCTCCAGACTCGGCATTCCTATGGATACCATCACCTAAAGCATCAATCATGTCCAATTGTGGGACGGTACTAAGGACGTGAACTTACAAGATGGGAAATTCCCATGTGTCAGTGTCAAGATCCCCACCACCGTAAGCTTCATCACGAGAGTCCTTGGTTTGGAAAACATGGTAGGTTTTGGAGGACTCACTGGATATTTAGACAAAAGTTCGTATAGAAGAGCATGAAGGAAAACGACACAAATTATATGCGTAGTTGCCCCGCCTGCCATTTAAATAAGGGATATTACCAACATCCGGCAGACTAAATTATGGCTCTTGAGTACACTTGACCTTCCCTTTGAGATCATTCATCTCGATTTTGCAGAAATAAAGAAGAGGGCAGGAGTCCCGAAATGCAAGCGTTGTTCGTCGTCATTGATGAATCCGTGCTTATGCTGACTGCCGATGCTGGCCGAAGCGACACCGACTCCGTCATTTCGCTGATGGAACGAGATGTAATTCGCAATACAAAGGCAATTGTTCCAAATAATTAACCGACCCTTTGCAGCGAGAAGTTCCAAGATTGGCACAGGAGAGAGAAATAACCCATCGATTTTCTACTATTTATTATGCTTAATCAGATCCATTAGCAAAATATATTTTGCGTCACATATCAAAGTTTATGGCAATTGATCCTAAGTTTACAGGTGGATAGAAGTGCTTGCTGGAAGCAATCATCGCGCACCAGAGCTTGCATAGTGTTGGATTAGGATGTAGCCCACACTTCGCCGAATGCGAGGTGAGCCAATGGTTGCCTGTCGATTACTTTCCGGCCTTGACTAAAAAAATAACGTCATAAGAATTAAAAGAATTCTAAAGCGGACATAAAAAATTATCAAAAATAAAAGAGTGCAGTCGCTGATAATTAACCAGGCGAGAATATTTTAGAAAAAGCTTGCAAGGCCCCAATGCCGCCGTTTCTGATCACTACATGGTAACCAATACTTGCAGGCAATGATTAATCTTCAATATTTCGTAATGCTTGGGATTAAACGATGACAAAAGCCCCGGCTTGTGTATAGTTCCAAGAGGAAGACCAAAAAAAGCACACAAAAGTAGACACAATAAAAGTCACATTAGTCTTCTTAATTAGATAATAATAATATGATTATTATTAATGCGTTATAATAAGGGTTATGAAAATTTTATAACTGTATCTCGTGCGTACAATTCTTTTTTTTTTCCAATTGAGGTGTATTCAAGTTACTGAATGGAGTTCAATTATCATATATTACGAAGCACTGAATTTCATTATGTTGCAAATAAGTCCTATTAGTTCTAGAATGTGTTTTTGAAAATATATTCTTGGATTTATACCTTTCATTACGGAGTCGCTTCGGGGAATCAATAAGATGTTTTATTTATTGGCATTGTCCCTTTCTTATCATCGATATTAGTATGCACTACTGAAAGCACCGGCACGTGTGAACTGTATCAGGAGGCGCAAACTGCATACACCTTAAGCAGTGCAAGTACAGTGTATTCCAGCTGGCGAAGACGTAGCGCATCGGGTTGCGAATCAGAGCGGTCTTGGTTCCGTTTCTTGGTGGGGGATGGGAATATCTGTCTGTAGCTCTCGGGACATAAATGGTAATTAGAAATAGGCGGTAACTAAATGTGTTGTGCTGATATTTCCTACCTTGCGGTACGCGCGGACGCACACACGCTCGAATGAGCAGACAAATTTATGGGAGTAGGATTCTCCTACAAAGCATGCCATGCCTTCTAACTAAAAAACAAGAACTTAGAACGATACTTATGTCTGAATTGAGTATATAAGTAATTTGGAGCACCGAAAAGCGAAACCGGAAAGAGATTTTGTTTAACGTTACAATAACATTCTATGCAGGTGATTGGGAATTTTAGGAAAGTCTACGGAAAATGGCGTTATGTTAGAAAACTGTACTCACTTTGTAAGAACACAAATCATATCGGGGCTCACTTTGTTTTGATAAGACTGCTTCAGATAATCCAGATACGCGCTAGCATTTATTAGTTTGTTGCTACACCAATGTATAAGTTTTTGCGTCAGGTCGCTATCAGTCTACGAGAAAGAAGTTCATCAATGCGATAACAAAACAAACCAGCACCAGTAAAAGTAACAATTTGAATCTAAGGTACTTACTATATTAATATTCGTAATGTCAAATTTTATATTCACTTGAAGCTCTTTGTTTATCTTCTGTTGCGCCTGTAGATATATTTGGGATTGAATGATGTTATACATAAATAACTAAATACGCAATTTAATTGACTGCCTTGAGGTCTCCTTCGTCTATTTCGTTTTTGTCGAATACAATGCAATACAATACAATTTATTTACTTTTTTTAATACATTTCGCTCTGAACGAGTAGTCCAAACTTTTTGTTATTTAGAACAAAGAAGGTGGCTACGGCGGAAGCTTAATTCTTGTTAAAAGGAGCGCTAGCCTGATTTATTGGCGCCATAAAATATAGGAGAAACAATTTTATGAAGTAATACTTATTCCCAACAGAACGTAAGGCCGCGAGTGAGGTGGTGTATACTGAACATTTTGAAGCAACCCGATTCTGAGGAATTACGAAAGGACACAGACAGGAGAGAAGGAGAACGTCTCAAACACAGATAAAATTGTGTTATGAACAGAACCCCTCATATAAGGATTGAACAAACTGAAGGAAAGGGAAAGACCGCAATAAAAATGTACCTCTGTTTGGGACGTTTTTCTTCTCTTCTCCTGGTGTCCTTTCCTTATTCCCAATGTTTAATACGTACGGCGCTTTATTACTTGAGACATTCATTAGGTTAGGGTGGGAGTTTGTCTCTGTATGAACATCTTTTATCCATAGATACTATCGGAGCTTAATCTCATAATTTTTATCCTGAGCCATAGCAACTGAATGTAAAGTAATTATGTTACATTAGTTCGAAAAAGACAACTGCATCGCCCTCACCGCACCCGCGTTCTTAATAATTTTTGAGAGGGCGGTCGACTATCATTAAGGCAAGTGCCACAGGTTACGTCTGAAAGCATCTTCGTACACCGTAGGATAACACGAAACTCGATCCTTCCGTGACCTTTGCATCGCAAATGTTGGGCGAATATATTAAGAAATTAGAGAGTTATTTCTTTTACTAACAAAGTTTATAAGGTTTCAGTAGCTCTTCCATAAATAACAGAGTGCGTTTTTTAATCAACAGAAGTGAACATACATGCCTTATTAAGCAAAAAATAATCAATGATTTTTTTCCAAGGATTCTTGGTTGCTGTTTTTTAAATATAATATGCCATGGAAAATGTAGGCCAACATGGTTTTCTCGCATATTCTTCCGAACGACCGAGCCGCTGTCGTTCCCCGGGCCCCAGAAAAAAATGTATGTCATTTTTTTACAGTTATCAATCACTTGGCGCACGAAGTGAAACTTTTTATGGTCTACGATATTTGGAATTTTTAAGCTGAGCAGCTGCTAGGCTCCAATGAGAGGGTAAACTGCACAGCGCAATGTATATTTTCACTTTCGCAGCCCCTCTCCCCCCTCTTGCCTCATAAAAAAGATGAGTAAAATATGAGGATTCCGTTTACAGAGTATTTTATCACTGCTTGATCAGAGACACAAGAACAATAAAAGTGCAAATTTTTTAAATGGGTAAACACCGTGCTAGTTTTTTTTTTTTTTTTTTTTGTGGTAACAATCCTTAAATCACGGAGCCTGAGTTTTTATTACAAACCTTGCAGAGTTGGTCATATCGCTTTTAATTAAACCATGCTGAAAGATATGTTACCTTTTCTTGGACACTATTCAACCAATGTCCAGCTGTGGAATTCCGTGCTGCTGCTTCTGTTGAAAATGAGTTCCCATCCAATAGGTAGGCTATCGTAATCTTCGTTTCACGCCTGCCTACAATAAAAAAAGACCCATACATATAAAAATATGCCTTTCAATTAATTTACATAGACCTGTGAAATAGGCGGGTAGTTGTAGAAGCATTAATATTATTCGGGTCTGATGCATAATCGGCCTTTCTAAGTAGAAATACGATTACGCAAAAAGGGTGTTTTACTATTGCCGTTAATTATGCGGATAATTTTACCTTATAGACAGCATTTCTTGACAGAATAACGATAGGTCTCAAACATACCGTTAGCTCTCAAAAAGAAGTATTGCTTTTTTAATAAATACACGTTTATGCCTCTCATAACAAATGAAATCTAGAGTGTGGCAAACAAGCCAATTTAATTCTAAATTTGGGTTTGTACAACTGACATGTTGAATAAATGATTTGTTTTAAGCAGTTATTATATCATATAACTATTTATTGATATTACATAAAATTATAAAAAAATTATTTTGTACTAAGAAGCGCACATTACTGTAAGCGCAGTTGCCACTCTTAAACGGATGAATGAAATTAATCTCGTGAAGCCAAGTATTTTTCAGACCCAAGACTGCAATGTCTACAGCAATATATACAACGTTTAAAATTAACACGAAAGTAGTTAATCAAGCCGCGACCTATTAAATAATTTTGTTTTAAGAATGCTCAGAGTTTGATTTTTGGCTATCGGTTGACACAATCGAAATTCTGTGAAATTTGAAGCTGCTATATTACGATTGCTTTGGACTTGTAACCAAACACTACGAAGGTGCTTCCTCGTAAATTCTAGCGCGCATACAATTGTTGGCCATGCACATGAAATACTTGGTAGCTTCAGAAATTAACATACATTTATTTATGCTAATTTATAGAATTCTGTTCAAAGTCTGTGTTGCTATGACATTACACAGTACACCATTGACAACGCCAGAGAATTCCACACATCGGTGCATTGGTGAATCTTGTGCCATTAGGGGAGATGGAGGAATAATTTATCTGCCTATCATTTTGGTCTAAAGGTACGACGTTATAGTGAGCAATGATAGGAAATCGCGACACTATAACATGACCAACTGAATCTTACTTCTGAATTAAGTAAATAATTACAACACGTTCATTTAGACGGACGATTAAACCTTATACGTGTTTATGCCGCTGAAGCAATGATTCGTTTGCTACGTATGTTTCTTTAAAATCTAGCGCTGGTATCAGTTTACAACAAAATGAATATGTTTGAAATGAAGTTCTTAAATCTCAATTTTAATCAAATTGACACCCGATTGACAAACTACCCGGTGTTGACTAGAGGAAAAGTATACGTGTTACAGAAAACTGAGAGCATGGTGCCACAATAGAAGTAGAACCTCAACCCCAGAAATGTCTGCCATAGTATGCATGCGCAATCTCTTAGCAAGTTACGGAAGCGCTCCTGTAGGAGCCCATGTATTTAATATACAAATATAATCATAGCACCGAAACGTTGCGCTTCGGACAGTTCGCCATGCTACTACTTCACTGTATCATATACCACTATTATAGTGACGAAATTTCAAGACGATGAGTTGTTAACTGCTAGTTCCTCAATCGAAACCTTATTGTTTATTCGAAACCTTTGGTGTATTGCCACTACGGATAGTATCATTCGAAACCTTTTGGTGTATTGACACTTCGGTTAGTATCCAAGTTAATATAATTGTGCGGTTTATTCTTTGGCGTAAAAAAAACTCCTGATGACTTTATAAATTAAATTTAATCCCTCCCCAATATTATGGCAAACACTGCAGTGCTTATGATGTGTATTACATTTGAGAAAATATATTTTCGGGGCACCTCGCGTAAATATTTGAAAAACAGCGAAGTTCAAACGAGCACAATTTAGAAATACAACAAAGTACAAGATTTGCCGTACGACCATAGTAAACCAGAATAATCCATAATAGACTAGCTAAGTTTTTTTTTTTTTTTTTGTGTGAAATCTGTTTTTTTTTTTTTTTTTTTTTTTGGGGGGGGGGGATTCTGAGACAATTTGCCAAACAAGGTGGATTCTTTGTCGTTTAGATGTTCATAATGATTTCCAGTATTCTAATACTGACATCACTGAACAAGCAAACAAAAAAGCTGTTCTATATTATAATATGCTAAAATTATAAGATATTTTTCAAAATATTCTCGCTAATTAATATTGTTTTGTGATCAAAAGAAAGTAATTTTTATAGCCAGGAGTGGGAGCACGGCAGTGAGTACCCCATTCATGAGGGAATGATTGTTCACGCGAACTTAACATTCACATCTCAAAAGTTATATTTAATGGCGTACTAAATGTCTACGTTAAATAATTAACCGACTCGATATGACATTACTCGGTGTGGGCGGAAGTCCTTTTTTGATATAGCACCGGCTTGTAGTCGGCGACCTTAACTTTTATATTTCGTCGCCAGTTGAGAACTCGGTCGATCTCAGAATGTCCCCGTCAAGATACGGGTTTCCGAATTTGAAATGATGAACGAATGCCTCAAAACAGCTGAGCCATGTCCACTTCAATCCCAGCGTTCTCAAAGATGGCTCATTTTAGAGGTTTCGCCATGGCAGGAAGTCGAGGGTCCTAAAGTTTTGTTTTTTTTTCGCTGCCAATTAAGGACCCTTCCGATCTCAAAAAATTCCTGGAGGACACGCAGGGGCCCCAATTTGAAGGGGTGTACGAATGCTTGGAAAGAGTCGACCAAGGTCCATTTCGTGACAAGTTTACTCCAAGATGACTCATTTTACAGGTTTTTCCGTAGCAGCAACGTATATTCGAGGCTCTAAATTTTTTCTTAAGTAGTTAAGTTCTCGGTTGAACTCAATAAGTTCCTGGATGAAGCGCGGCCGCCAGAATTTCAAAAGATGAACCGGTGCGGAAAAATGGCCAATAATCCCCACTTTGGAACCGCCTTTCTCAAAAAGAGCTTTATTTAAAGTGTTTGCCATTTTACCACGACGTGCTCGAGGGCCTTATATTTCGTATTTTGCCGTTAGTTGGAAACTGCCTTATCCTCAAAGTTCGCTGGCGAGGCACGGGTGCCCAAATTTCAAAAGATTAAGGAACGCGTAAAAACGGAGGAACCATCCCCAATTTGAGAACGGCTGTCTTAAAAAGGACTTTTTTCGAAGTATTTGCCATTGTACGAGGATGTGTTGTTGTAAAGCTCTAGATTTTATATTTCGTCGTTATTTGCGGGCCTGAAATGTTCTCAAAAGTTCCCTGGCAAGACGCGGTTCCCGAAAGATGAATGAATGCGTAGAAATGGCCGTACCATCCCCGATTTGAGACCGGTTGTCTCAAAAAGAATTCATATTGAAGTATTTCCTTCAGTACCGGGACGTGCCCGAGGGCTCAAGCTTATTTATTCCACCTCTAGCTGGGAACTGGGCTGTCTTTAATACAATTTCTGGCTAGGCGCGGGTGCTCAAATTTCAAAATATGAACGAATGCGTAAAAACAGTCGAGCCACTCCCAATCTGAGGCCACTTTCTCAACAAGACCTAATTCTGGAGTACTTGCCATACTACCAGGATGGGATCGAAGGCTTTACATTTCATATTCCGCCTTTTGTTGTGAACATGGTTGTCCTCAAAATTTCCATGGCGAGGCGCAGGGGACTAAATTTAAAAAAAGGTGAACAAATCCGTAAAAACAGCTGACCTACCTCCAGTTTGAGCCAGGTTGTCTCAAAAAGAATTAGTTCTGGATTTTTTGCCATATTACCACGATGGGGTCGAGAGCTCTAAATCTTAGACTCTGCCTTCAGCTGGGAACTGGATTGTTCTCAAAATGTTCCCTGGCAAGGCACGGGTGCCCAAATTTCAAGGATAAACGAATGCGTAGAAACGGTCGAACCATCCCTCCTTTGAGTCAGTGCAACTCGGTACGCGCTACGTTTTGACGCGGATGATGAAAGTATCATCCGCGTTTTTGTACCGCCAGCCTCGCGCGTGTTGCACGAGAGGTAACATTAGTGCGGCACCGCGTTTCCCGTGTGCTTCGATTCTTTCCAACGTTTACCGATTTAGGGGCTTTTCATGACGCTCAGCGAGTTTCTAATTTAAACAGTGTGTTTATTTTACCCGTCTAAAATTATTCAGAAAATTTAGGGTAATATTCAAATTATCGTGACAATTAGCCCCCTAATAATGTGCCCATGACCGCATAACCTACTTGATTACACAGCATAAATATAACGCTTGCTTGGGAGAAGAGCGTGTTGGTTTGGGTCATGGATGAAGAAAGAATAAAACAATTAAAACAGGGACAACACAACCACATCATGAAAGATGTGGTTGTGTTGTCCCTGTTTTAATTGTTTTATTCTTTCTTCATCCATGATAAATATAACCTCAACGAATTAAAAAAGAAATGTTGTGGAAAGCCTAAAATAACACCGGGTTTACATGATATCAACTTAATACATTTAATTTTGTACTAGATTCGGACGTGCTGTAAATACCGCATAAGCGATAGTTTTTACACTTTGTTTCTGCTTAAATAGAGACGCAGCCGACGCTATGAAGTTATCGACCGATCACCTCGTAGCGTCAATGGACATTTTTCTCTTTATGATAGGTTCAGTGATGATAGACCACACGACAGAAAAAAAAATGATGAACACTATGATAGTGTGTTTCTGACGCTTGCACACTCAAGAAAAAAGGGTGTAAAATGGTGTATCGCTGCACGCTTTGTCCCATAGAATACACCCCAAAACTTCCATTCGACGTACAGCGCCCTACTGTCGAACAGACGGCCCGACATTTTACGAGGGGCTTGATAGCCGTGTAATACAACTTAATAAAATAGCTAATGTACGTTTTAATGACAAAAAAAAATCAGGATTTTTTGTCCCTACTGTAAAGACTCGGTGTTTTCTTAATGTCGTCTTTGATACGTACTTTAGCTATTTAAAAAGTTGTGCCACAAGGCTATCAAGCCCCTCGTAAAATTTCGGGCCGTCTGTTCGACTGTAGGGAACCGTAGGTCGAATTGAAATTTTTAGGTGTATTATATGGGACAAAGGGTGTAACGATACACCTTTTACACCTTTTTTTTTTTCTTGAGAGTGTGATCCCATTAGCTCGTAGCGTCGGCTGCTTCTGGACTTAAAGGTGAAACAAAGTAAATGCGATATTTCCCCGTGCGTGACGGAGCTGACAATGCATGTGGCTGTCACACAGAGGGATGGGGTTCGGATGCCGCTCGCCCGGATCCTTCTCTTATTAATTTTGCAATCTTCTATAAAATGCGAACCCGTTTTCGACTTTCATCAAGTATTCTTGTTCAGAACATTCCTGAACGTGGTGCGTGTATGAAAGTATTGATAGCACGCTTCTTTGGGTCAGTCCCCTACTGAAAAATCTCAAATATATGAGAAATTTTAGTGTCCAACAAACACATATGAATCATACAAGATATTTGAGAACATATCAGAACCATATAACAACTATATAAGATATATAGGAACATATAAGAACCACATAAAAATTTGTGAGAAGTTTCGTATAAGTTTCTTATGTGGTTCCTTTATCTTCTTATATATATAGGGTGCTTCAAGTCACCAGGCCCGATCTAAAATGAAGCGTAAAAATCGACGCCTCCACGTAGCCATCTAAACTTTTCGTCAAAGGCGTATTTTACAGGTCGGTTTTGTTCTGGTAAGATTACAGAGCGTTGCTCTTTTTCTTTAAAATAAAGGCCCAAGAAACTTGCCAGGGACTACGGCGGGCGGGGACCCAGACGACCAAGTCCAGTAAAGAGTCAAAGTACAGGCTAGCTGGTGGAAGTCAACCATTTCGTTGAGACCTGTCTGTTTTTTCTGTTTCTTCTGCTCTTCAAAAAAAACCCCAGTCTCAGGGTAAACGACGAAATGGTCAAGTCCAGTAGTGGGGTGTGTTTGGCGCTCGTATTCATAGATGGCGTGGGGAGCAGCGTCTGAAGGTGCAGCCGACCAGCGAAAGATGGCAGACGACACGGAGATGAAATCCGTTGGCAGCAAATGCGCCGCCGTTATGCAGACGTGTTTTTTTACCTTAAGTTTTGCTTTTATTGATCGCATTTATTTTTTTAACCAAAGGTACATTTCAAAAAGATTATATTCATTTTAATACACCACGTTGGTCGCGAGCCGTCGCGATAAGGAGGTAGCGCCATCTATCAATACGAACGCCAAACACACACCACTACTGGACCCCTTTCGTCTGCGTTGCTGCGCGCCATAGACCCTAGCAAGTTTTTTGGCATTTTTTTTATAGAAAGAGAGCTACGCTTTGCAATTTTAGAAGAAAAAACCGACGTGTGAATTACAGCTTTGACGAAAAGTTTAGATTGCTACGTGTAGGCGTCGATTTTTACGGTCTATTAAAGATCGAGCCTGGTGACTTGAACCACCCTATATATTATATATCTGTTATATAGTTCCTATAAGCATCTTATATGTTCTTATACATCTTGAATGATTTATGTGTGTTTATTGGATACAAAACGAATTTCTCATACAAATGGCTTTTTCACTAGGGTCGTCCTCCCGTCGCCGACGGAAGATGCGTGGCACCTTTCTCTTTATGTTTGATAGGCACAATTTCGCTTCATTGAACGTGTATTTTTTGTTTTCTATTAATCTGCTTTTTTTATTGGCGACAACATTCTACCAGGCGAAAAGTGGATAAAAACGAACACGTAAAAAATTATGTGCCTAGAATACTTTAGTTTAGAGTACATCCTTAGATACGTCCTGTACGAAATGAACCAGTAATAATAGCGTAGGTTTTATGCCCTATACTAGCTCAAAACAGTTATCTCTGAAGGCACATATCTAACGATATCGCACCGCAAACCAACTATAAAAACTATATAAATGCGCGCGACGACGTCTGCCAAATCTCTTAGAAGCTAATTCTGATGTTATTCCTTAGATAACAGTATCGCCATGAAATGGTAACGGACAACGATAAAGTTATCAGTATATTGCAACAGCAAGACATCCAGTATCTCATTCGTTTTTTTTTTATCTTTGAACTTTTTTTTTCACTCGGCACACTCCGCTTTGGTGGGAATTTTGACATGGCATAAAAGTTAAAGGTGAATACGCCTTGTGGAGGGCTGCTAATTGAACTAGAAGCGCCTTTCGCAAATTTCTGGCGATGGGAAGTCGGCATATGTTCTCGTTTGAAACTCAAATGTACGAGGCAGTGAACCGAATCAAGTTGACACTATTTAATATTTCGGGGTTCACAATACAGTGTTCTTCAGAAAACCTTTCTCAAAAGTATCTAGGCACGGACCAGTGTCCTTTGGCGCAAGATTCTTACTCATAAAATGCATCCAGTCATGATACTCATTCCAATCATGACAATATGCTAACGTAGCACGTTTTGTTTCAAGTGCATGCTTAGCTGCTTCAGAGAAACTTCACCTGCCATTTAAGAAATGTTATTTTGATACAATTCTGCCGATTTCTCCTACCCTTGTACTTCGCTAGAAATGACGGTTAACTGAATAAAACTGGAGAAGTGAAGTGTCGGTTCTACAAACAAAAATGATGCGATGGCCATAAAGCGTTGTTTCGCGTACATGTACATGAAGGAACGGAGCTTCTAAAACCATCACCACATCAAAATACTTACTTGAACCTTTCTTATTGGGACCATTTGGCATGCGTTCAGCATCAAGACAAAATATAAGTGATGCAAGCACCAGCATTCCGAACAAGACGCTCATTTTGAAACGCTTAGATGTGAATAAGAAAATTATTTGTTTCTCCATTTGCGCACACTTTTTATACTACTAGAATCCGGAAGACAGCAACTGTTCCTGATGAATATTCATTTCATTGTTTCCAGCGGCTGTGCTTCCCTCGTACATAAATGACAACTTCCTATTTCGAGTAATGAACTCGACTGGAAAAGGTCATGAGTTTTATAGCTATAACTGTTATTGGCTCTTCGCATCACTGAAAACGGCGTACGTTGTTGATGCTGTAGTCGTAGTTGTCGATATAGTACTGGCGTCGTAGAATGTCCGTCGTCGATGTTTGCCAAATCGTTGAAAAACATCGGCCGCCGCCGGCGGGGAATGCACCTAGGTCCGCCACGTGTGAAGCGGAGTCGTTGCCACAGAGCTACTCCACAGCGTTAACGACTCGCTGTATACTTAGGGTTCTTGTAGTCTTCAATGTCCACTGCACGCAATATCTGGAAAAAAAAATTAATTCCAAAATACTGTTGTAAAACTGTCAATGCCAAGAGCCCGTGCCTGAAAACACGATTTCACGCGATCTGGAACAAAAAAAGAAAGTATTCAGAATAAAATGGTGAGACGTCTATTTTGTTCCGTACGTTTTTGTTTACGCACCTCACGGTGCGTGAACGCAACGCCGATGCCCAACAATTTCGCCGTAACGTGTCACAGCTCTCACTGCGACTCTACTGTGGGCTAACACAGGACTGCTAAATGGTTTTTACTGCTGGAGTTAGCAGGTTGTCCTAGTCGCCTTTTGTATTTCAGTGACTGTTCAACTATGGAGAAACTAATGGTGTTAATTATGATCCCGAGTCTTCCTCAAGGACAAGTATTGTTGTCAAGGTTGACAGCATCGGCGTAAAAACATTTTACATGGATGCTGTATTCGATGCAATTTACATGCATAATCTTCATGCACTCTGTTTAGAACATGGTGATTTTTGTCTATATACCTGGAATATCTGTTTGTGCTTAAAACATTCCGAGAACATTTCCAAAGAAATGTATTGCAAAAAAGCAGAGTACCTATATTTTTAAAAGCATAAAAGGCTTTTTTAACAGAACCCCCAATTCCAAAATGTTGCCCGTCCTTGCACCTCCAGCTAAATTTAGCGGGAAAACTGAAGTGGCGTTTAGGTCACGAGACGTGAATTGATGTCACGTGATCTGACATCACGTGATCTATACACTAATTATGGTCCCCTACTAAATTTAGCGGGAAAATTAATATCACGTGACCTGCCGTCAGGGGACCTATAATAAACTCAGTTCCCCCGCTTATTTTCCCAGAAAAATTGATGTCACGTGACCTGACGACCCATGACCTAACACAAATTTAATTGCCCCGGTGAAGTTAGCAGGAAAATTGATGTAATGTGTTCATGACGTCACGTGACCTTTACAATTCAGTTTGCCCCCGTATATTTAACTGCAAAATTGATGTTGCATAACCTGACGTTACGTTTTCTATACACTGCTTAATTTAGCAGGAAACACAGTGCCACGTGACCGCATGTCACATGATCTATGCATCAATGCAGTTTCCCCGCTATATTTAGCAGGTCAATTGATATCGCGTGACCTATACGCAAATTTATATTCAACGCTTAATTTAGCGGGAAGTTTGTCACGTGACTTGACTCTCGATACCCATACATCATTTTATTTTCCCTGCTTAATGTATCGAAGAATTTTATAAAAAGAAAGGCTCTTTATTCTCCGAAAGAAAGGTTTAATATACTGTGACCAATTTTAAATGATCGCATTTTAAATACTGCATTTCATGCATTAGAGAACTTTGAAGACAAAGGGGCCCTGAAAATATTTGCTTAATATTGCTCTGCACTGTTCCGAGATGCTAACATTGCATGTAATTCCCTAGAAATATGTTGATTTATTTCCTAACCAATGGCATCCGTTTTCTTTGAACTATTCATATTTCTTTACATTGTCACGGGCGGTGACCAATAAACAAGAAATAAACAGGAATAAATAAACGTTTAATGTGGCGAGCTTGTGCCAAAAATAAACGGGTACAAATGATAATAACAGAGCGTCGCGGGCGTCGAGGTCGGCGTAGCAGCAGAGTCGAACGCTGGGGCGAAACTGACTCCGCTCGCCTTGCGGAATCCCTATGTACCCTTATGGGTTTCTGGATCGTTCGGCGCAGAAGGTTCGGCGCGAAGAACATTCTAACCTCGAATCAGCAAGACGGTTCTCGAATTCACCAGAACATCACATTACAGTGTCAACAAAAATGTCTAGTCGCGGCCAGGAATCGAACCCTGGCCTTCTGCGTGTAAGGCAAGCGCGATAACCGTTAGGCCACGCGCGCGCTGCGTACTTGGCCAGCTGCGCGCGCGGCAATATGAAAGCGGATTTCTCCGTCAAATTTGATAATGTCTGTTACATAATCACACAATTTTATATAATAAACCATAATATTCTAATGTGTGGAAATAACCAGTTAGGACAATTGTGATGGGTGTATTTATGCTGCACAAAACCTTCGTTAAATAGTTTACGCAATTAACATAACACTTCTTCCTCAAATTGTATTTTACAGATATTCTTTAAAATTCGCCGCACCACTAGCACTAGCAAAAAAAAAAAAAAAATCAGGCCATGTAGCCGATAGCGAAGCGATACAACTTTGCGTTCTTGTTGTTTTAAAGCGGATGTAACTCTTGTATTTATAATGATACTAGTAACAAAACAAGAAAACGAGACTCATATTCGTAAGTTGTGGTGTTGAATTTTCAAGATATTACGATATTTGGTCATTCATTAATGATGATTCATAATCTACAAGTTCGCTCGAAGGGTTAGCCATCTTTCGAGTATTCGGAAACAAGCCAACAGTTCGTGCGGGTCGTAGTGGAGGCCGACCTAGCACATAATGGTCATCGAATTTTCAGCAAAAAATGTACTGCATGCATGCGATGGGATTTAGAAATTACCCACCCAATGATATGGGCATGTGATATTGCGAAAAGCTAATCACTGTTCATGATGTATATCTGCGCCATAAAAATTCGGAAATAATATATATTTCTTTTGTCATAACTGAAATTAAATCCATTGAACGGAGTGATAGTACGATTTACGTAATTTAGTGGAGACGTAGATATGAACGAGGTAGACACGTGTAACATTTGTATTGACTAAAAAAAGAAAACCGGAAGTTAGAAACGACTGCTTTTCTTGCTCCTACACCTGCTTTCTGACTAACTACAACGTTTGTTAAGATCATGCACATCTTTTAAAGAAATGTTTATTTTTGTCAATTACACTGCCCGTAGATTGCTACTCTATGCACATATAAGTCATAAATCCGGTGGACTATAATTTATTACGGGTCATATTGCATGGTGAACTCTTACCAGCCTCCAGTAACTATAACTCCTGGAATTCACTTATGCAATAAGAAGCGTCAAGAATATATTTTTTAGTAAAAATATATAGAAAAACATTGGAGTAGGCGTGTAGGCTTTTGGTTTTCAACCAGGGTCCTTCTTTTCGATTATACGACGATGAATCTGCCTCGCCTACAGCGCGGGCAGGATAAATCGAGTAGGAATGTTATCACAAGGTAGCCAGTGCGTTCAGACCTAAGTTCGAAGAGTGCACATAAGGTGAGAATGGTCAAAATAGGCACATGCTTCGATGGAAACAGACGCGAAATAGCTGAGTCAAACCTGGAGAGTGCGACCTCAAGAGACGCGAACTTAACGTGTAACTCCTCCTCAGGCGCTTGCTTTGAGAAGACCCTCTTTCAGAGACGCTACAAACGATAATGCTCACGCCGTGCAGGCACCAGAATGAGTACTAATATTACCCGCTCAAGAGCCCCGCCGAGCAACACACTATTTAATCTGTCTTATCACTGTCTTTGCTATGATATAGTGGAGGAGATAATACGTTTTTTTATACAAGAAAAACAAATTAAGAACCAGTTATAAATAGGCTTTTTGCAAAAGTTTACGCACCAAGAATTCCGTTAAGGAGCAGATTTTCATGCTTCTTAAGGATACTAGTAATCACGACTAATACGGGATACACTGATATTTTAGATTAATTCAATTAATGTGACTGAAGGGACTGCAGGCGTGACTGCTATAGCTGAAGGTTAAATAGAAGGTAAAATTATCTCGTACTTGATACGCGATTCCTTGAGCGACGGTATATTGTCCCTAATGACATTTGATGAGGCGATGAAAACTGAAGAAAACTGAACGTTTAATGGGGTGAATTTGTGCCCAAAACATAATTGCAAAAGGCTGGCGTCGAAGGCGTCGATGGCGGCGAGCAGCAGGATCGAACGCTTGGGCGATACTGAATCCGCTCGCAATGGGGAGTCCCTTATGTAACCGCGTGGGTTTTTGGAACATTCGGCGTAGAACCTTTGGCGTAGAACATTCGGAACTCGATCAGCAGAGATTGTTCTCGAACTCACGAAAATGCTAAGTTGAAAGAATAAATAAAAGAACATTACACTGACTGAAATCGAACCTAGACTTTCCGCGCGACAGTTAAGCGCGGTAAGCATTCGGCCACTCACGCGTTCGCTCGGCGACGCGCGTGGCATTACTCCCCCCTTTAAAAAGGGCATCGTTTCGATTCAGCTTGCCGGGAAATGAATAAAATATATAATGGTAAACTACGGAGGCTCGTAAAACACAGTCCTATCGAGTGTAGTAGAAGAACGCAGTTCACAGTCCTATCGATCGTCGTACGGCTTGGAATTTTAGGGTTATGATTATAGTGATATTAATTGCCAAGGTGCAAGCGAGCTGGACAAGAATTACGAAAATAATCTTGGAGAAGGGGAACAAGAGGGAAGAAAGACAAACACAAATCTCCGAATACAGCTAGGTGACTGGTGCGGGACCGAAAAAATCCGCCTGACCCGGGTACCAAACCCGGGATCTCTCCATTTTCAAAAAAAATAGCGTTCTACCAAATGAGCTAACCAAGGG